AAGTACGACATATTTACTATATAACAATATGGCACAATGGCCGCTATGCAGCAGCACCATCAGTCGAGAAGAGAAAAATATTTTATGTTGTGCTAAATGTAAATTATTATTTCACAGCAAGTGCGGTAAACTCAGTGATAAAGAGTTTGAGGCTCAAAAATCTTCAAAAAAAGGATGGATTTGTTCTAGTTGCGATCAGCATAAAAAAATTCTACTAGGTGGTGAAATCCCAGATCAAAGTCGCAACACTGAGCCAACACCATCAGAAATTCTGGAAGCAGTAAAGCAGCTTGATAATTATTTTAATCAGGAAATAAAAAATATTAAAGTAGCTCTAGACAAGTACGGAGACCTGAGCTTCGAAGTAAATTCTAGGCTATCTAAAATTGAAAACCACTTAGAGAGACAATCTAAGCATCTAGAAGAAATAATTTCAGAGAATAAAGCCCTCAAATCTTGAGTCGGTGAACTGGAGGTCAGGCTGAATAAAGCCGAACAGGGCCTGCTTAGTAGATCGCTCGAGATCCGGGGCATCCCGGTTCGAGCAGGTGAGACCCCCGCAGCCCTGGTTACCAGTATTGGCGCCGGCCTGGGCATTAAACTCAATGTGGAAGATATAGACACTGTGCAGCGCCGAAGAGTAAGAAAAGATGACCCGCGACCACCGCCTATCATCGCGAAATTCGTCAGGCAGTCAGTGAGAGACGACCTGGTGCAGAAGCGAAAAGTAAAAATGAACTTTTCGACGCGGGAAATCGGTTGGCAGGAAAATGACTGCCACCGTATCTATCTCAGGGAGGAAATGACCCTGATGAACAGATACCTTTACTGGCTCGCTCGGCAGAAGAAAGCAGCGGAGAAAATAAAATATATATGGTTCTCCGGCGGCAGACTGCGGTGTCGAAAGGATGACGGTCATCAGGTTGTCTTTATCGACCAGAGTCAAGACCTAGATGTCTTCGGCTGACTCTTCGATCCCTGTTTACTTCTCAACACCGACAAAAAATTTGGCATAGTTTACAGAACTCAAATTGAAAATCAGGATTGTATTTTATTTTTCTATTGCAAATTTTTAATTATTTTATTTCTATTGATCATTTCTTTTACATATCTTTTTCTTTTTAATGTTTTTTTTTTTTTATATTTCAGTTTTTACGGTATTTCATCTAATGTATCATATCCGGTCCAGCGTCTGCTCATCAAATTCTAACTTTATTTTCCTAAAGCCTAATCATGTCTAGCATCCTTAATACCTGTCACGTCAACTCCCAATCCCTCCCAGCCCACTATGATGAATTCCTTGAATACTTTACCTATAATTTCTACCATATCATTGCAATTTCCGAAACCTGGCTCAAGCCTTACATCCCTTCCACAACTGTTTCCCTTCCTAACTACACACTAATCCGCCACGACCGGACGAGCCGGACTGGCGGAGGTGTAGCGTTGTATGTTCACGAATGCCTGAAGACCCGAATACTCCACTGCTCTCTTCCATCCGATCACCCACATGTAGAGTTCCTAATTGTTGAAATTTCCAGTGACACATCTCCTATCCTTTATGTCGTAGTGTATAGACCCCCTCTTGTTCCCTTTGATCCGTCATTTGAATCATCCCTCTTCAACTTTGTTCCTCTGTATACAAAAATCATCATTTCCGGTGACCTAAACACTAATTTCCTTTCTGACTCCAGCGATAAATCATACCTCGAAAACCTTTTTTCCTCTCTTCATCTTTTCATTGTTCCTTTTTCTTCCACTCATCACACCCCCAGATCCGATACCTGGTTGGGCCATTACATTATCGACTCCTCTCAGAACCTCCTTTCCTCCTCACAAGTACCGGTCGCCTTTTTATCCTCTCAGGATCTAATCCAAATTTCATATAACATCCATACTCCTCCGATCCTACCTAGAACCATAACTTTCCGTAACATTGATGTCCTCACTCGGGAAAAAATCTTACCCTACCTGGAAACCCTTGATTGAAATGGAATATATTCCTGTTCATGTATTGACTCTATAGTTGATATTTTAACTTCCAACCTCCTTAATATCCTTGATGCCCATGCTCCTATCAAAACCTCTACCTTTCGTCGTCCCCCGGGTCCCTGGATGTGTCAGCAAATTAAAGATCTTCAGAAGAGACGTGATGCAGCCCGCAGAAACTTTAGACGCACTAGGCTCGCTGACGACTACCAAGGTACTCCGTAACCTGACACAAATCAAAATCCGACGAGCCAAATCCACCTATTTCCACGAAGCCCTTTCATCAGCTCCTGATTCCAAAACCCAATGGCTACTCCTTCGTAAACTCTCCCTCTGTGAATCTTCCAGATCTCCTTCCTCAGCAGTCTTTCCAGTCAAGTCTGATGATCTAAATTCATATTTTATATCAGTTTCCTCTTCCATTCCTCCATCAACATCTTCCTTCTTTACTCCTGGAATATCATTTAACGACGACAACTTTTATTTTTCAGATATTTCTCCCACAGACCTCAAATCCGCCGTGAGGAAATCTCATTCCAATTCTATTGGTCCAGATGGTATTCCTGTCAAATTAATCAAATTGTGCCTACCTGAAATCCTTCCCGTTCTCCTTTTTATCTACAATTTCTCCCCTCAGAACTCAGTATTTCCGTCCTCATGGAAAAAAGCCATTGTCCGTCCTTTACTTAAAAATCCTAACCCTTCTTCTCCTGAAGATTACCGTCCAATCTCAATCCTTTCTAACCTTGCAAAACCCCTGGAACGAATAGTCCAATCCCAAGTTTCGAAGTTCCTCGAACATTCCAACCAACTTGATCCTTTCCAGTCTGGTTTTCGACCAGGTTACTCCACGCAGTCCGCCCTAATCAAAATCATTAGTGATGTTCAGTCCACCATAGATGACAAAAAACTTACTGTCCTTGTACTCCTTGACTTTTCCAAAACCTTTGATACCAATAACCATTCCATCCTTTTCTCCAAATTAAACTCGTTATCCTTTTCCAACAGCTCTATCCTTTGGTTTCAATCTTTCCTCTCTCAACGTACCCAAGCAGTCTCTGTTCCTAACCAACCTTTATCTTCCTATCTAACTCTGTCCTCAGGAGTGGCACAGGGCTCTAGCATATCTCCTCTCCTTTTTAGTTCATATATTAACGATCTTCATAAATCAATCCTTCACTGTTCCCATCACCTTTATGCCGATGATTCCCAAATTTACCTCTCCTTCGCTCCCTCTGAGTGGCATGATGCGTTTTCAAAAATACAAGAAGACCTAAATCGCATCTGTGCCTGGGCAAATGAAAATAGATTAAGGTTAAACGCTGCTAAAACCCAAGCCATTATCATTGGTTCCAAATCCCTTCTCAGATCCAGTACCAACATTCCTCTCCTCTACCTAAATGGCCAACCCATCACCTTCAACTCTTCAGTTAAAAACTTAGGTATTTTCATAGATCAAACCCTCTCCTGGAATCACCATATTTCCCAAATATCTCGACGCTCAATTTCCACCCTAAAACTCTTCCATCGCTTCCGCCATCTCCTGCCCATGTCCACACGTAGACTCCTAGTATCCGCCCTCATCTTCCCCCACCTTGACTACGGCTGCGTAGTGTACGGTGGCCTCTCATCGGAACTAGGAGACAGATTGAAACGAATCATGAATGGCTTAGTAAGATTTGTCAATGGAACCCCGAGACGTTCTCGTGTATCTCACTACTACGCCGAGTTAGGGTGGCTCTTCCCCTCCTTCAGAATACAGTATTTCCTAGGTACAGTCCTTTACCAAATAATCCATAATCATCGTCCGTCCTACCCATTCAATCTTCTTCAATTCAAGCCATCTATCCACTCCCTCTCCACAAGATCTCGTCCTTCTGACCTTTATACCCCTTTCCACAAATCTGCCTCCTTTCAACACTCCTTTATTGTCCACTTCACTATCTTTTGGAATTCCATCCCACTTAAAATCCGCCATGCACCATCCGTATCCATATTTAAAACCCTCCTATTCCAATTCCTCCTTACAATTCAATCAGACGCTGGGTATCCATTTAACAAAATTGCATTTTTCTCTATTTATCATTTGTATATAAATATATATTCTTTTTTGATCATGGAAAAGATGTCTAGTCATGTTCTGTAATGTAAATGTAATAAGGTAAATACTTCTGCTATCACTTAGTTTTTAGTTATTTTTTTTATTGTAATATGTATTTTGGCCAGATGGAATGTTAATTTTTATGTACAAAATTGTTATTCTTAAGGGACTTTGTCCCAGAATAAAGTTGATTCTTCTATTCTTCTATATTTTGTTTTATCTTCATTTATTTGTAGACCGCTTTGCTCTACTTCTCTTATCAGAATCTCAATGCTCTCTTGTTTGGTTCCGAGGACAGCTATATTATCAGCATATTCATGAATTTTATGATATTCAATCCATTGTGCACCTCTCCATGTTCACATGATGTTCTTATCGCCTTCTCCAGCACTAAATTGAACAACATCAGTGATAGTCCATTAAGTTTGTTTAGATAGATGTTTCTCCTTGTATTAGGATTTAACATTTAGGGTAATTTTTACATGCCTTCATCAATTTCACTAACTTTCTGAAAACACAACACATAATGATTTAAACACACCGACAGTAAAATCCTACATCCACGATAAATACACTACATTTCATTCTTCAACTCAAAATCACTTCCATCCACTAGTTCTTTCTATTTTCTGTTAACCTGATTGACACAGATTAATAAGCAACTAGTCGTGAGATCTTCTCTTAGAATAATAACAAAATGATAGCAAATCAATAAATTCACAACAAATAACCAATAAAACAAATTTGCTAGATACGCTGCAGTGATGGTGGAAATGGCATAGAATATTAAAATAAATAATATATGACAAAATGAATTAACTATATGAAATATTATTATTAAGATTATTGATATAAATTCTTTTGAAAAGAAATATTTCAAAATGTACAACTAAGTAAAAAATTATGATTAAAAAGCATGAGTTTCAAAATACCTTTATTTAATGACCTTCATTACACCAATACCTGCATCAATCAGTCAACAAGCACAGTTACTTTGTCGTTCATTTTTATGCCGAGTATTTCTTAAGGCTGAAATCATGGTTAGTTTATCAGAATAGAGAAACTATTGTTAATTTGTGCAATAAACCTTAATTCATATTTAATAAATTTCAGGTAATGATTTACAATGATCTTAAGAAAAAATGATATGCTTTGATAAAAAAAAAAAATGTAATGCTTGAAAAACTATTATTATATTCCACTGTACAATTTTTAACAAGTAATAATTGATAAAATAAATTAATAATAAAATAAAGTAATAATGATTTCCGACCAATTTCCCTTCTTTCAAATCTCTCAAAGCCTTTAGAGCGATTAGTCCAATCCCAGCTATCCCATTTTTTAGATGACATTTATCTCCTAAATCCCTACCAGTCCGGTTTCAGCCCTGGTTATTCTACTCAGTCTGCCCTAATCAAAATTTCTTAAGACCTTCACACAGCCATAGATCAGCAGAAACTAACCATCCTTGTTCTTCTTGACTTCTCCAAAGCTTTTGATTCAATAGACCGCAACATCCTCCTAACCAAACTTAAAAAAATATCTCTTTTTCTTCTAGTTCCCTTAATTGGTTCCAATCCTTCCTTACCGGTCGCTCCCAGTATGTTATAATTCCTAATAATCCCCTATCAGAATCTCTACCTCTGTCTAGAGGCGTCCCACAAGGCTCTTCCTTATTCCCCACCCTTTTCTCCATATTCTCCTATCCTCTATCCTGCTCTGTCAATACCACCTGTAAGCCGATGACATTCCGATTTACCTCTCCTTTAATCCGACCGATTTCTCAGATGCCATTCTAAAACTTCAGGAAGACATTAACAGAATAGGCAGACCTCAATAGGCTCACTCTGAACGTCGAGAAGACAAAAGCCATCATGATCGGATCTTCCTAACAACTCAAATCGGTATCTCCCAATCTCCTCCTGAACAACTCACCTATCTTATTCCACACCACCGTTAAAAACCTAGGTGTTACTTTTGATCAAACTCTATCCTGGAAACCACACATCTTCCAAATTTCCCATCGCACAATCTCTATCCTAAAACAGTTCAATCGTCTACGATATCTCCTTCCATATAAGTCCCGTCAACTCCTAGTTTCCTGCCTTATTTTCCCCTACTTCGACTATGGCTGTATGGTGTACAGTGGACTCTCAGAAGATTTTGGGGGCCAAACTTTAATGCCTAATGAATTATGCACTACTATTCGTTTTCGGAATCTCAAGGGATACGCATGTTACCCAGTATTACACCAAGTTGAGGTGGCTCTATCCATCCTAGCCGCCTTTCTGTACCAGATCATTAGAACTCATCGACCCTCCAATATTTTTCACAGCTTACAATTCAAATACTCCATCCAATCCCGTCCCACTATATCTCATACTTCCAACCTCTATCCTCCTCCTCACCTAATTGCTGCATTTGACAAATCCTTTGCAATACAAGCCGCCTCCCTCTGGAATTCCATCCCTATTGATATTAGACACACTCAATCAGTTTCCTCTTTCAAACCTCTCCTCTTTAAACACCCACTCCTTTCTCAATCTGACTGATTGTGAAATATACTTAAGAGAAATACCTAAGCACTCCCAGAGACTACCTCAACTTATTTAGGTTATTTTAGTTTCTTATATATATGTACAATTTTCTTGTTTTTTTCTTTCTCTTCTTCAGTATTTTTATTTTTTGTCGACTCTTATTGTAAATATATAATATAATTGTAACCACACAGACATACAATCTGTATTTATAATTTGTTTTAAAGTGTTTTAAAGGAACAACAGTCCCAGAATAATAAAATATTTTTTCATTTCATTTCAAAAATATGCTATTGTGACAATTCTAATCACTAAAATAAATTAATACTGCTGTAGATATTAACTAAAACTGAAATTGATCAGTCAAACATGTTAAATAAATGCAAAGTGAAAATGATTCATAAATGTTTACATTAAATATAACCTTTGGAACCACTCCTACTCTTACGGATATGTTTATGTTTAAAAATTTAATCTCATATCACAATCCATCTCTTTTAGTTTATTTGTTGAGCTATTAGCGTAAAAATGGCATGAGAAATCATTCAAATATTTAAAAAAAAGAGATTTAATTATTCATTACTATAACAATGGAGAGTCAATAAAACAAATTACTGTAATTAATATCCATTCATTCAATAGATCAGAGAGGTTCGGGGTTGCAGGATGGTTGCATTTTTTTTAAGGCCTAATATATAAGCACATTTAAATTCATATTCTCTAGGAAAGGCTTAAGACAAGTCTGAAAACTTGAATATCGATGTCAATTTTAGTTGTTATCCTAAGAATACAGCTCACTTGGTCGAAGCATCACTATATGAAAGTCCCAAATTTTTAGAAACACAATCACTGGAATAAAACATGATTGAAAGAAATTTTGAAATCCCACTGGAATCTGAAATCAGAAAAGATCATATAAAAAAAATAGAGAAAAAAAACTGTATCCGGCTTGGGTACATCAAAGTTTGTTTTTTGGCAGACCTAATGAATCATATATCAATCTTCTCAATGTGGCTAATACAAACTAGGATAGTTACGAGGAGGTAACTGATCTGTAGGCAAGTTGTTCTGAAAACTATCTTATCTGCCCTAGTTGGAGTTCATATGGAGGTAGAACCCAAAAAAAGTAAAAAGTGTAGCAAAAGAATGCATAATATTTATTTTAACACTAATTTCAAATTATTTTGTAATTACGTTTCTGTAATTTTATGAGGAGTTAATATTTTTACTACACTGTATAAATAATATACACTATATTAACAAGATTTTTCATTTGCATCTTATTTACACATCATAAAAACAAATAAATAAAGTTTTAATTGTATGATTTAAGTTATATCATTTAAATTTATAAATTGTGAAATAAAAAAAAAATGATATGATAATTTATCTATACTTATTATATTGAGGAAAACTATATTATTGATGAGTAAACATAAGTATTAATGTACTTACTGATCCTAGAGCCAGAGGAAAACAATTCAGATTTGTCATTAGCACAATCCAATTTACCCAATACAATTTTTTCAAATGTTAAGTAAGCCATTCTCAAAAACAAATTTGACACTTGTTTACCAGTCTTAGAAGAGACAGCCCAAAACTCAGCATTTAAATCTTTACATGTTTCTGAAATGGTCTCTTTCATTCCCAAAAAAGTCTGATCAGACTAAAATTAAATTAATGGTGATATAGTTAATGGGCTATTAGAAAATAATATATAAAAGTAGTGCATACAATCAGATTAGCTTACCATCTTATCTAATTTGTTGCCAACTAAAAACACAAAATTGTGATTATTTTGATAACTGGCTTCATCCAACCATTTTTTACACTCATGTAAAGTGCTTAGTTCCGATAAATCAAAAACAACAACAATCACTATAATAAAGTAATGTTTTTAAAGAATAATTATAGGTATAAATGATAATAAATATTTATATAATTGTACCATTTGTTCCCCGGTAATAAGAAGTAGTAATCCACTTAAATCTTTCTTGTCCGGCAGTGTCCCAGCTAAATATTAAAAATAAATACTAATTAAAATATATTATAATGTTTTTCAATTGGGACATTGACTTGAAAAAGCATGCCTTGCCAAAATTTGTATTGAACTGTAGCGACTGTACGATACAGGACTGGAACTAGGATTTTTGCCAGGAGGGAATATCTTAATTTTGCCACCCTTTCATAACTGTCAACATACTATATAAGTATTTTAGCAAGTATGTTTTGAAATTAATATCATCATCACATCATATAATATTAACCACCAAATTAAGATAAAAACCACTAAGAAGTAGATTAAATATTTTTACTTAAGCTGATGCATGTGATGTCAAAATTCTAGTAATTAATTGTCCTCTAAATTCTGCCACCTGGAGTAATTTCTAACTAGTTCTGGCCCTGGTACAATACTAATACTAATTGAAGAAGCATACTATCTGAACAATACAAAAACCAATGAAAAATAAAGTAGAAAAAATCCTTATCATAAATGCTCTTATGTTCCTATCTCACCATAATAACCAATACTTTAAATTTTAATAAACCAGGTCAGATAGATAAAGGTAATAAGTTATATTTTAGGAAATACTGAATTATTGATAAAAATGATGGTTTAAAGTGATATATTTTTAATATTTCATTTTTCCAATCACATAAATTAGCCTATACACTGTTTTGTATTTAATGTTTTAATACCTGAATAATAGCCAAAGACCATAAGCCAAAGAAAAGGCCAACAAGCAGATGGATATATCGTATCAACAAAGAAGCAATAGATTGTATGTAGATAACTGGAAAGAAATAGTTCAAAGTAGGCTGATCTGGAGTTGACTTGTTAAGTCACAAAAAGATCTGCAAGGTCCAGGGGTGCCCATCCTCCCCAAGGTCAATGGTGCAAGAACCTATTCCTCCACTCTCAAGATATTTTATTGCTCATATTTTCTTAAAAACAGAGCAAGCAAAGGTAGAATTAGAAAAATTGTAGATCAAATAAAATTACACTTGCTGTCTGTTGCATGTTTTTTCCTTGACCCTTAGCATGAAACTTTTTATTCCGAAAATTCATAACCCTGTGAAAATGTGTCCCCCTGAAAAATTAAATAATCCATCAAAATATACTCCCCTTAAAAATTTTTATGGCTGAACTTGTGCCATGAAACTCTCTTCTGGGCACCCGTCACAAAGTCTCTAATGGCAACAGAAGAAAAAAAATTACAGAAATTCAACAATTGGCTCATAACTGACTTGATAAAGGTCCCAAGTGACAAAAACCAATATCTTATGGTGAGTTAAGGTGATTTGAATTGTGTTTTCTCTAAACTCACAAAATATAACTTGTAAATTATCCACTTTATATTTTATCTGGAAGAGTAGTATAGTGATCGTGGATTTTTTTAAATTAAGGTACTTATTTCATTTATAAAATAATTACATATATATAGATTATTTTATTTTTTATGTCCCATTTATCAATATTTTAGTTTCTTGGCCCATCACAATGAACAATTTTTTATTTTAGATGATAAAGTCTAACATTGATATGAGCTACTTCTCCTACAAAAAAATATAATTTTAAAGTATAAAGTTTTTTTATAATATGACAAAATGTCTTTAAAGGGATTACAAATAGCATAGAGATGAATGTTGCCATTTTTATTACATAAAATATAACAAAAGAAAAATATATTGTCCATGAAACTGTGCCAAGTTCCTGAAACGTTGACAAATGGACTTCTGAATATTGGCTGTTGACACAGGGTTTAAATGAAACGAAAGAAATCATGTAGTTGTGAATTTTATCCAGAAATTATATTGATCTCAGAGCAATCTCAATGTATGTTTTCAGCATTGACAAAAACATTGGGTTCTGTTAGGAATCAAATCCAATGAGATTTCTTCAGGTAGGAAGAATGGTTGAAAAATAGTAATTATAAAAAATGGAAATTTCATGATTTTATTTTATCTGTTTCAGAGCCAAATAGAACAAATAAAATATTAAAAATGAAAAAAACTTAAAAGAGGGAAAGGTAATTCACAAAATATGTCATACATTTCAAGGCAGAATGGCACTCCAAAAATATTAAATGTTAGAGTTACAAAGTCCACTCCACAAGTTTCCTGACTCTCAGAATTAAATTTGTTTCTATGAAACCTGGAATAAATAAATCCTTTAATAATACTTAAAAATTGATAATATTAATCTATAGGATTGAAATAATGCTAAGCACTACATATAATTTACAGTTTAATATTGAAATTATAATTGCCTTTTAATTAACGATGATTTACCAACTCCTGATTCACCAATGAAAATCATCTTCCCATTATTCAATGAATCATAATCTGAACCAAGTCTACAAAATCTAGCTACATCTGGATTGATTTCATTGACTTTGTTTGGGGTCATTAGATGATTGAAAGGTTTTCTGAATGTGTTGATTTGCCGTGCAGCAGCACTCATGAGTGAATTATTAAAACCAACAAACAATTAATATTTCTTGTCTACAATCTCTTTTCCTTTACTTCATAATGGCTCAGAAGTTTGAAATTGAAAATGGCGCGGTTTTTATCGAAGGAACAATGTCAACTGAAATCAAGCTGGCAGTGGATCTTAGAATATTATCAATACAGTCAACATCGGTTTCGTTCCTAGGGATACAACATGGCCCCGAAGCCGAAACCAACAGAAAAATCAGGTATGAGAAAATTCAATTTATTCAATTAAGGGTCTTCTTATTGCAATTATAAGAATCAATAAGCTTATTTACAACGTGTTCAGTTTACTTCTTCCTATAAACGTTCACAGTTATTATTTTAACTAATGCCTGTGTAGAGTAACCTTACATCAATTTGACCACGCGGCCTGAACACGTCAAGTATTTTCATAATTCTTTATTAAGTTTTCAGTTATTATTATAAATATTTATGGTGAATCCTAATTTCATAATTATTTCCCTATCCATACCGAGCATTAAATAATTACTAGTTAAATGTTTAAGTGACATTCTATTGCTTAGAGCCACATAGGGATTCAGTTTTATTTCTGACCACTCATCTGTTGTTTCGAAAATATAATACTCTGCTAAATGTTACATCATAATAAAGGTTAAACTTTTTTGTCCCCATACCATTTAGCTAAATACAATTTTTTTTTTCTATTTGTATAATAGTTTGTATTTCTTTGGTGTTGTTTAACAATATCTGTTGGAATTGATTAATTGTGATTAGTAATTGTGTGAGGTTTTCACATTACCGAGTTTTGGTCAAACTTAACATGCTTAATTTCTTATTTTGTCAGTCTCATAGCCTCATGTTCCCCTAACAATGTCTTTGTTCTCATATATTATTGGCAGTGGGTAGAGTTTTAAATTCTAGAGGATTAATCCCAAATTAATTAAAATCTGTGAGGTTATTTTAGTATGAGAATGCCGGGAAGACATAACTAGTAGTGTGGAATCAACCCGTAATCATTGTTAAATATGGATGTAGTGTGCCAAGTTAATTCCTTATTCAAGGAATCAATTTAAATTGTCCAAAGCTGATCATGATGATACGATTGTTCATTTGTAAATCTTTATGATGATAAATTTTGAGGGAATCTCTCTGAGTTTTGATGAGATATTTTTTTTATCTGACATACACCCATAGGCAATCTATTTTGATTTAGTATCATTCCTCTATTATATTTTATCCTTTTTCATAATAGGTAAGCCTGAGAAGAAACCTGAAAAGAAGCCGGAGAAGAAGCCTGCTGCAGCTCCAGCTGCAGCAGCAGCAGCTTCGACTTCTTCAGGGGCTTCTGCAAGTGCAAGCGGAGCCAAAGGTGGGGCACCTAAGTCATCTAAGACTCCTGCACCTGCTCCCAAAGTAGCGACTGCAAAGGTAGCCGCAGCCCAAGCTGCTGCTGCAGCCAAGCCTGCTTCATCCAAGGCTCCTGCCAAGGGTGGAAAGTCTGGTTCTGGAAAGCAGCCAGCAAAGGGTGCTGCTGCCAAAGGGGCTTCAGCTAAGGGAGCTGCCGGAAAGAAGACCCCAGCCAAGCCTGCTGCTAAGGTGATTTTTTTCCTTCCAGGATTTTCATTGTATGAACTCGGTCGAAGCATTTATTGAACATCTTTTACATTGGTGAATGTAACATTTTACTAGACCATTATTTTATCATAAAATCATTACCATCCATCTGAAAAAGTTTGACTTCCATGATATAATTGTTTAAAAGAATTAAGAATGAAAATTAAGGATATGTTTCTGTTAGTATATTGACTATGGAATTAAGAATGAAAATTAAGGATATGTTTCTGTTAGTTGATTGACTATGAATAATGGTAGTAAGCTTTATTTATTGTGGGACTAATCCCTTTAGAATAATACTGTCGTGGGCTTTAGAGCCTTCAGATTTTTTTTTTAAATAATAGAATAAGGAAATGGGAATATTAAAAAATTATAAGTTAGCTGCTGATCAATAACTTATAAACATATTTACAGAAAAGACTATTTAAAATTGTTTAGGAACTGGCGGGATTTATAGATATGTAGGGGTTGGATGGAGGGAATAAAATCACATGCTGACTAGGATTGAATGATGAAAGATCTGTTAAAAGCTACAGTCCAGTGAGCGGTTGTATATAAATTTGAAAAATGGGTATTGTGGGGAGGGGAAGAGGGGAGAAAGGGACAGAGGATTGAATTGAAGCTGCTCTGGAATGTAAAGATACCCTACATGGTAATTCATGAATGAACGTCACAAGAATGGCCAAGATTGCTCGGGATCACTTTGATCATGAAGACCCCTACACGTTCAATCATTGCTGAAGCCAATTTAGCTCAGTTGTAATTAAAGAAACATCATAGATATGTTTATTTGGTCATTGTCATTTATAGTATTGGACAGTAAGGAAAAAAAAATATAATAATTACTTCCTAGTGCCTGAAAATTGTTTAGACCAAAGTTAGAAAAATATAAGTCAACTATATACACAAATTTAGGAAAAGTATTGCGAAAATAATCAATTTGTTAAGAAAAATTAATGACAAATAAACACAACAGTTAAAGATTTTTTTTCTGTAAGTAAATTGTGAAGATTCCACTTTTTTTTTTTTTATTTATTGCTCACTTGACTATTTAAAGAAAATAGTAAAAATGGTTTAATAAAAATATAAACTAGGGATATAAACAACTATTTACTTTTATGAAATTATTTACTTAAAAATGAGGTCTAGGTAAACTAACTAACCTATCTAGTTGTTAGGTTAGTCTCATAGAAAATTGTTTTGACAAAAGTTAGTAAAATATAAGTCTACTACTTACAAAAATTAAGGAAAGGTATTGCAAAAATAATAAATTTGTTGAAATTAGGAAAAGAACTGACAAATATACACAACAGTTAAAGATTAATTTTTTTCTTTAAGTAAATTGTGAAGTTTCCAGTTTTATTTTTTTAATTTGTTGACTATTTAAGAGTAATAGTTGAAGATAGTTTATAAAATATAAACAATGGATATGAAAAACTATTTAACTATTTACTTTTAATGAAAATCAGGAATTTATAATGGTTGTGAGGCCTAGATAAACTAACCTATCCAGTAGTATGATTAGTCTCCCCACTACTTTTACCTCATTCCCGCTCCACTTGTGAACCTTTGATTTCTGGATGTCCGGAAATCTGCCAGACACCTCCCATCAGTTCTTCATTCACTACCTTACACTGTAATTAGGAACATTATTGGTGCCTCGGAGTGCAATTCCGAATGACTGTGTAGGGTTCCCTTAAGAGATAAGATGGTAGGATAGACGAATTCACTTCAATTCTTCAACAACGGGAGACAGAGATGTCCCTCGGGATCCCACAAAATGCCTCCAGGTACAGTTGAACAGTAGTCAAATTGGGGGGATATTAAGGAAATAACCAGGCTTCATCAGGTTTCTAATGGAAATAGAGTAATAGTAGAGTGAGGTGAATAATACCTATTAAGATCTGATGAAGACCTGCAAGGTGGGTCGAAACATCGGCGAAACAATTGAAAATACTATTTTTTTTAAAATTTAGTATTTATTTGGTATTTCATTCTGATGGTCCCAACCCTCATTTTTTTAAGTTAATGTTTCATGTATCTACTACTGGTGCCTTTATCCTAGTTTTTTATAGACTTATTAAATATTTTTAAAGAAATGCTTCATTTTGTCCTGGCACTTCAGTTAGTTCAATGTTTGTAATTATGTGTAATGTGTTTCTTGATTATATTACATCAAATATAAATAATTAAAATCAAATTTAAAAAATCATTTATAGAAAGAACACCTAAAAGGCATAAAAAAATTTCTTGATATATAAACATGTTTCTTTCTTCTGCTGTAGTAAAGATACGTCTGCTGTAAGTGAGGATAAATTTGAGGGAATCTCTCTGAAATAAATGAAGACATTATTTTTCTGATACAGCTGTTGTATTTGCCTGTTTTGTTATAATAATTTTTTATCCATTTCAACTTCATTAGTATTTGAACGTAATTATTTTTAATCTTAATTCTTTCATTTACTATTCGTCTGTATCACATTCAACCATCTATATTTCTTAATTTTTATTTAATTTAATTTTTTATTTCTATTAAACCCAACTTAAAAGATTGTTTTAGTGAAGTCAGATAATTTGAGGCATTTCTTAGAAAAATTTTAGTCAAAAACAATTATTCTTAGGCCAGACACACTATTGCACGTGGACAATGTGCAGAGTCAAAAGAACCGTGTTTTAATAGTGCTATTCCACTTTAATATTGGAGCAGGGCTGCTGAGCAGTTAAGGCACTGACTTCCTATGTTCGAAGTCCTGGGTGGTATCAGGCAATTATTTGTTGTGTTACATCAGCCGTGGATCGACGCTCCTGGGGCACACTCAACCTATATAAAGTTGATAATTTAATTAATTAAGGGGGAAAACCTGATGGTTAAACATGATCTTTTGGCCTGATCACCTCCCTGAACAACTGTTGGCCTCAAAACAGTGCTCTCCTTACAAAGTACTGAACCTAAGACCCTTCATGGTTGGTAGTGGTACAGGCTTTTTTTTTCCTATTCAATAAATACTGGATTTATCCCATTGGGGCGGGATGGCTGAGCGGGCTAACATGTGTGCAATATAAGTTGTCCGGCAACCAAACACAAGATAAAGAAATAATTACAAGTTCGCATCCTGGCGCTGGGGGCTTTTAACTCTGCCATTAATCCCCTGCCCGGGGAGGGGAACAAAATAAAATTAAAAAAACCATAATATTATTAGTCAACTGCTATAAATGATGATAAATTTGAGGGAATCTCTCTGAAAAAATTGAGGACATTATTTTTCTGATATAGCAGTTTATTGACATGAACAAAAATGTATGTTCATCATTAAGAAGCCTGAAATACATTTTTATTTAATTAATAGTAAAATAAAATATCTGTTGATAGATTTCTAGCATTCTAAAACTAACTAATGTTTCTTCTTTTTTTTCAACAGTTGGATATGATTTCACTCATTTTGTAAGAAATATCTTATATAGGAATATCATATTATAATTAGTTTAAATACTGTTAAAGGAAATATATAATTTAAAAAAAAAATGGAAAATGGATTGGCTTAGTTTTATATGTTTAAACAGCTATTTTCCTAAACGGGGTACCTCAGTGGTTAAAGCACTGACTTCCTATGTTTGAGGCCCTGGTTTCAGATCTAGGTGACCGCTGTAATTATTCATTCAGTTGCATCCTGTGGATTGACCCTGGAGTTAAGAGACCTTCCTAGAGCACAACCATCCTACCTAAAGTGGGGGAACTTAATTCAATAATAAATTAAGAGGAAAACCTAATGGTTAAACATGATCTTGGCCTGATCACCTCCCTCAACAACTGTTGACCCTGAAACATTACTCCCATACAAAGTACTGAACCAGAGGTCCTTCATGGGTTGTAGTGGTACAGGTTTTTTTTTTTTTTTTTTCTTTTGTATAAATATTACAATTATTTATTAGCTTACTGCTATAAATGATGATAAATTTGAGGGAATCTCTCTGAACCAATTGAGGACATAATTTTTCTGATATAGCAGTTTATTGACATGAATAAAATGTATCTTCATTATTAAGAGACCTGAAATAAATGTTTACTTAATTAATTTTAAAATATAATATCTTTTGATATTTTGTTAATATTTTTTTTTATCTGTTGATATTTGTATCCCATTTTTATGTTTTTCTTCAACAGTTTAATATTATTTCACTAATAATAATCAACTGCGAATTGACCTCCTAGGACACACCCAGTCTCTAAGTGTGTACTCTTAATTAATTAAGGTCGAAAACCTGACTGTTAAACATGATCTTCGCCCAACAAAAGTTGTTCAGAAACTGTTGGCTCTTAAACATTACTCTTATGCTAGGCATATTAGGATTTTACGAGCAAGTTTTGCTATAGTTTTGATTTTCTCACCCTTTATGTTTTTTGGCTCACTGAACAGGAATTTGACGTTTACTGGCAAACAATTTATCCACAACTTTGTTTTTTTGGTCACTTTTTGACCAAATTTTGCCACTTATTTCAGTTTTCAGCCTATATCTCAAAAAGGAAGCATTTTTTTGACAAACACATTCCATACAATATTAAAGTAGACAAAATTACCTACATTTCTTATACAAAACATTTTTTTGTAAGACTAAACTTTTTGTCGCTAGAGGATGCCCAAATTGGGCCACATTTCCGTATCTAGTGGAATTCACCGTTTACATGGAAATTACCCTTTCTATGATACTTAACTGTTGCAGCAATTTATTACAGTATACAGTTTGTATTGTATAACAGTACATTTCTTATAAATAACGTTTTTATTTGGAAGACTAATCCAGTGATTCTCAATCATTTTTGTGTGCCATGAAATTCTTGTCTGTGTGTTATGAAGTGTCGGGTGTTATGAAGCACCTTTTGTGCGACACTTCTCAACAGATTTCAGCATCGCGGTTTAGATAGTGTCATAATCAGAGGGAGGAGAGTTAATGAAAGGAAGGCAAGCAGTATACGTTTTTTCGAAGGGGAGAAATGTAGGCAGTTTTGTCTACTTTAATTTTGTGTAAAATGGATTTGTTGAAAAAATCCTTCCTTTTTGAGATATAGGCTGAAAACTGAAAAAAAAGTGCCCAAAAAACAAAGTTCTGAGCAAAACTTTTGCCAGCAACTTCAAATTTGTGTTCAGCTACCCAAAAACATGAAGGATGTGAAAATCAAAACTATAGTAACACTTGTTTATGAGCCCCCATTTTTTTGCTTATATGCCTAGCCTGTAAACCCAAGAAAAACCTATCATGGGTTATAGCGATTCTTTTTTTTTTCCTGTTCAATAAATAATTAAATCATTCTATTGAAATTGTTTTCTGTATTTCTTATCCATAGCTCAACATTATTAGCTAACTGTTATAAATGATGATAAAATTGAGGGAATCTCTCTGAAAAAATTGAGGACATTATTTTTCTGATATAGCAGTTAATTGAATTGAATAAAATGAATGATCGCTATTTAGAGATCTGAAATATATTATTACTTGGTAAAAATTAAATATCTGTTAATTGAGTTCTGGTATTAGAAGGCTAAATCATCTACGTTCATTCTCCCATTTTTTTGTTTTTTTGTTCAACAGTTAAATATTATTTCACTAATGTTGGAAGAAATCCTTTAGTGTTTTTATAATCTAATGGTGTAGAGATGCTTGATCATGATATAATATGAGAAGAGATTGGTCGGGGATACGGTCAAATGAATACTAAATTTTTAAAACATTAAGTATTACATGTATAAAAGATTTTAACTATACTGTCATCCACTATATCTCTGATGTCATCTTATTATTTCTTTATTAGACTACTATTTCTTATTTAATATCTACTTATAATTCATTTATTTTATTTTCACCATGTACCTATTACCCATGTACCATGTACCTTTATATTTTGTATCTTTTGTAGCCCTGATGAAGACCTACAAAGTGGGTTGAAACAATCGGCGTAACGATTAAAATACTATTTTAAAAATTTAGTATTTATTTGACTGCACTCCCCGACCAACCCCTCTTATGTTTCCTGTTTTATTTACATACCTCAAAATCATGATCTTCACTTTATATTTATACAAACTTTAAACTTGTTACTGATTATTTGTTGAATATTTAAAAAAAAATATATATATGCAGTTATTATTTTATTGATACGTTTGATTCAGAATAATACATTTTTTAATATAATTTTTCAATTAGGGAGCTGCAGCTAAACCAGGTGCCAAAGCTCCAACCAAGCCTGGTGCTAAACCTGCTGCTGCCAAGAAACCAGCAGCTAAGCCCGCCGCAAAGAAAGTTCTTGAGAAGCCTAAGAAGGGTGTTGCACCTAAGCAACAAAGACTAGGAAAAGTAGCAGCCAAGAAGACTCCTCTAGACAAAGCTCTTAAAGTAAAACTAAAGGTATGAATATTCCCTTCATCATATTACTGCTTATTTTACTGTAATTTTTTTTCAATATCCAAGCTAGTTGTACCAACATTTTTCTATATTTTAATGTTTAAACATTTTTACCCGATAGCTAGAAATGATGAGAAATTTGAGGGAATCTCTCTGAAAGGATTGAGGACATCATTTTTCTGATATAGCTGTTCTTAAGAAAGACAATGTTAAATTTCATTGTTTCTATTCAAACTTTGTAGAGTATATTTTAAGTCAACATCTTCAATTTTTTTATTCCGTGTTTATAATTCATCTCAATGAAATTCTATGTGTAGTTAAAGCTTATATATTTATAACAGTATAGATCTCTATTTAGTAATACTTGTATCATGCCTAATTTTTATTACTCTGACTAAGAAAAAAATTGATTCATCTTGAGTCATTTCTGAAATTCGATATCTTTTCTTATTTTTAATTTTTTTTAAATTACTATTTTAGGTTATCCGAGGACCTCATGGAACCCGAACTCGAAAAATCAGGACGTCTGTCCAGTTTAAGAGGCCAAAAACATTCAAGCCCCCCAGAGCTCCAAAATACATCAGGAAATCCGTTCCAAGGAGGAGTAGGTGAGTAGTAGATAAATTTGAATGATTTAAATTTCATAAATGGTATTTAAAAATAAAATAACAAATGGAAATATTAGATAAATATATTTTTTCTAATGACAGCCTCAGCTTTAAACTTTAAAAAAATTCTATCAATGTTTATTAATGATGAATATATTTTTTTTAAATGTAGCTTTCTGTACATTAAAATCTTTTTTAGAAAACTTGAATTTTTATTAGGAAAAAATGTCCTATCCGTTAAATGTAATTTCTATATATCCAAAACAACATAAAATTGTAGTATTTAAAAGAATATCCCTTACTTCACATTTATAAGAGCGGCTAATAATTGAATATGAATAAAAACAAAAAAAACTGTTTCACTGTAAGATTAAGCAATTATTTCGCTTCAAGAATGAGATTTTTTGATTCTCTTTCCTATTATTTTATTACGATTATCATTAAGAACAACTAAATATAATAATGTAGTAATTATTGTTATCAATGAATTATATTTTAAAATATAATTATTATCAGATGCCATGTATTTCACAAATACAAATATAATATAGACATTATATTCAAATATTATATAACAATTCCATCCAATCTCATTGCGTTGAAACTAGCGGTTAAATTCTTGATCTATTTAGATCTTTCGAATAACTTTTGCTATTTTTTAAATTTATGACAAACAAAACCAGTATAATATTAAAATTGGAAATTTAGTATATTATTTAGAAGTAAATTTTTCAAATAATCAATTTTTAATTAACACCTCCAAAAACATTACTGTATATTCAATTCAATATACCCTAGTAAAAACTCTCATATTAGATATATATTCTCTTCAAAACATTCTAAGTAAAAATGGGATTGCTCTTACTTTTAAAAAAGCAGTGCAGCATACAAGACGTAATCTGAAGTTCCTAAGGAATCATAACTATTATCCTTAGTTAACCTTGTCAGTTGATTTTTGATTAGTCCGAAATTATGTTAATTACATTATTTATTAATTGCTAAAGGCCTAATCAATATATAAATAAGCTCTTACATATTTGGGCTTTGAGTGCGTGCCTAATTTATTCCAAAGGATGAATACATTAGATAGAATTAAAATTAAAATTGTGTAAAACAAATTTAAGGATTGATATTTAAAAGTGAGAGGTTGTTTTGTCAGTTTTGATAAATTATGAATTTTTTTTTAGAGATGAAACAACAGTTAAATAGTTGTTACTTTAATAACTAAAACTTTAATGTGAACTAGAAAATTGAAGGAGTAAAACTTTAATATTTAGAGTAAGAAACTAAATAGTATGAATTCTCTTAATTTATAATTTTTTCTTCTTTTTAGAATGGATGCCTATAACATCATCAAATTTCCATTGACAACTGAAGCAGCCATGAAGAAGATTGAAGATAACAATACCCTTGTTTTTATTGTCCACTTGAGGGCAAACAAACACCACATCAGGGCAGCTGTGAAGAAATTGTATGATATCGATGTTGCCAAAGTCAACACCCTTATTAGGTAAATAAAGTAAACTTAATATTTTAACAAGGATTTGAACATCAGCTTCATTGTCTCAAGCATTAATTTATTTTTTCTTTGTTAAACAGGCCCGATGGAAAAAAGAAAGCTTATGTAAGGTTAGCGAGGGATTACGATGCACTAGACGTTGCTAACAAGATCGGGATCATATAAATATTTACTTCGTTTTGTATATATTTTTATGTTCTCAATATAAAATCTTATTAAAAAAACTTTCTTTTTATTATTTTGTTTTTAATTTATTTTTAATCCTATTTTCTTTTATTATTCTCTTTGTACCTGTTATAGTCATAACATTTTTTCAGTTAACAATCTTCTCTTTTTGATAAATATTATGGGTAACAAACAATTTATCAATAAGAAACTTATAGCATATTTCAGTTGATTAAAATCATGCCTATACTATTAATTAAAAGTGCATTTACTGATTTTATTATTTTCTATATCTTCGGAATAATGTGGTTGGTTCAGCTCTTTATGAAAAATGTTTAGTGCACTAATTGATAATAAGTTTTATGTTTGTAATGAGCTAATTAACAGTCAGAATTAGACAATTTTTAATTATTCCTATAACGGATATTTGGAAGGTAGTCCAACTTTAAAACTAGAATTTGTGCTGATCCTAATATACTTGGGCTTCTAATATTATATTTGATGTTTCTTCAATCGTTACTGTGTAAATGTTGAGTAGAATTTATTAATTTTTTGAGTTCCCTGCTTTCCATTTGATCTATCAGATAGTTGTGGTTAGGGTCGTTTTACTTGAAATTTACATGGTTATAGTTTACTGAAACATAAATTTTTACAATTACATCTATCATTTGATTTCCATGACTACTACAAAATCTGAAATTTTGAAATGTCTGGCCCAGGGATCTGCATCAGGTGCAATAGAGGATTTCTTTCCCTGGTTTCTCTAAACCAAAATTGTAGAGGATTTCTCCTCCCAAAAATTACATTTACAATGCCTGAGGCAGTTGTAAGAATTATTAATAATATCCATCACTCATAAAAAAATGTTAATGATTTATAAATATAGGACCTACATTCATAGTCAATAGAGCAGCCAATTAGGAGGTATTTTATCTATAAATTTGGATGTTTATTTAATATACTTGGAGATTTTATAATGGTTAAGGTCAAATAAAAAATTTTAGTAAAATTGCTCAAGCAGAAGTAATAAGTTGGAGGAATATTTCGGTTTTCAATTATAATGTACTAATTCCTGTTGATTGGTAGACAAAAAGTGAAGTGATTGTTGCGGATGACCAAAATTTGCATATAGCCAATTATAAAAAAAAAGGTGAAGGTGATGCTTGAAAAGTTGATTAAAAAATGATTATGAAAACATGATTTTATTTTCAATGAATAACTATTAATTGTACCAGTATTTATGACAAAATAAATAGACAATTTTATTAAGTATATAATAATTACGCTTGGATTGCTACTTTGAGATGGTTGGGTTGTTGTACATTAACAAAAATTCAATAGGTTATTAAAAAAATTTCAAACCTTGTAAAGTTTCTTTCATTCAATTTATAAATAATCAGTTAATTTTCCCAATAAAGCTTCCAAAAGTGTAGGCATATTAATGGTAGATAAAAAATAGTACTCAGTTGATGGTTTGCTGTAGAAAAAAAAAAAAAATGAAATTATATAAAAAGTATATATGAGCACTTTGATTATTTGAATAGATATTAGTTTTCTAATCTAAATTTCATAATTAATTTTTGTTATATTCATTATAAGATATATTCTCAGCACCACTAGGTTTTATTCAACACCATAATAAAGGATAGATCTAACTGCTAACTGAATAAAAGGTTTGAAATAAAATGCTGAATTTAAAGTTTACTAGGTAAATTGGTCAATATGCAAGAATAGGTAACACTTCATTATATTTTGGTCTGAAAATTAATGTACAACCAGGATTTAAGAGATTAATTTCGATTTAGTTTGGTTGAGATAGTTTTATTTTATTTGTTATCATTTTTTACTATTTAATTTTTTTAAGTGTAATAAATTAATTTTGTATTAAAAGACTCGAAAAAATACAGGCCATATTTTTTTTCATCACCATTTATATTTCAATTTGCGAAATGTCTTAGGTGCCAATTTTTCATAATTTTAAGTTCAGCTTAAATAATTTAATAATACTAATTAAATTAGGCCCATCGATTAGTGGTCTCATGGCAGCCAACTATTTTTGTGCTATTTTGGGCTCACAAGATAGATGAAGAGCCACGTGAGAAATGAAGGTACAGCTGTGTAAGACTGATAAGGCCAGTTCTTATCTATGCTTCACAAACCTGGACACTAACTAAGACAGATGAGAAGTCTCCTATTTTTTTAAAGAAAAATATTAAGAAGAATATACTGGTCTGTTAGCTAGGGTGAAGCATGAAGAAAGAGGAAAGCTTTTATAGAGACATTGATTTAGTACGGTTCATCAAGGTGGACAGGACATGTGGCACGCATGGCTGGGGAGAGGGTATCCAGAAAAGTTATGGATGCGGTGCTGGACTGAACAAGCAGAAGAGAAGAGACTCATCCCAACAGAACTAGAAGGTGGCGGTGAGAGACTGTGCTGGATGACAGAAGCTCTTAAAGGAGACCAAGATCCACCCCAGATTGTAGAATCCATCAAAGTAAGTAATATTAATTAAATAAAATATTCAGTGGTTGGCAATATAATCTTCAATGAATGAATACCAAATTTTTGTATTTGTTACATTTTACTATATAGTTAACTTTTCGGAATCCATTTTTCCATCATCAGTACTTTAATTAATGATCCTTGGTCATTCATATAAAATTTCTAAAATACAAGCATTAATGTAAAATAACGTTACAAGAATCGTTAATTTAATAGTTAATGAATTTAGCTATAAAATTTACCCTTTTATTATATTTTCCTCTAGCTACTTGTAACTATAATTAATATAATATTATGTAACTTAGTATATACATACCTTGGTAATCAGCAAACAATAGTTTCATAATTTCAATTCATCTGAAGGCACTTCGACTTTTGCATTTCAATACTTCAAATATTGATTTAATAGTAAGTAGATGCCCTTTATTACCAGGACACTTCAATTAGGATAGATTGTAAAACCAATAAGCTATACTGATTGGTCTCTTCAATAAGCCCTAATTGGACATTCTGATTTACCCATTTTGCTCAGGCAACTTCTGAAGTCATTACAAACACAATTTCCAATTTCTTCAATTGGTGAAAATGAATTAACCTCCAAAGAAAGCTTCTCGAAACTTTCAGTTCCTAACTTCTCTGTAGACATGATGATTCTTCAGATAGCCATTTTATTTGTCTCAACTAAATGTGGTTTGGGAGCTATTCCATTTAAATACATCTTAGAACAATATCCTGCTTTGAGTGATTGTCTTTTGAAAATATTGGAGGATGAGATTCGCACTATGAATATAGTGTTTTTAAAAGAGGAAGTTCAAGAATATAAGCCAATTGAAAATTTATTGAAACTTGACTGGGACAGAATTATTGTTTCATCATACAATGTCAGTTCTGTTAGCGGTCTCTTTGTATTTTTACCTAACATCAATACAACCATTTCGTATGAAAAGATAATGAGAATCAAGCGTAATGACTACAACTCTAAGTATGTAATATGTACTGATGATATAAGGAACATACTGAATTTGTTCGAAGTTGCATGGGAAAACCAAGTTATCGACGTTATTGCACTTTTTCCATCGAAGAGAACTAGTCGCATTAGTGTGTATACATATTTCCCTTTTGGACCATTTGGGTGTTCCACAACTGATCCTGTAAGAATCAACATTTATGAACCTGTAGAAAAACGTTTTGAAATTAATGAAACTGTTTTCTCAAAGGCTAAAAAGCTTTACAATCTCTACAAGTGCCCTGTACGAATCACAGTTTCTGAAAAACCTGCAGAATTCATTCTTAACAATAAGTCTAACTCATACAATGGAGTATCACTTACCTTATTCTCTTTTCTTCAACATTTTATGAATTTCACTCCCCAGATTATTCTTATTGATCATGAGGCTAACACATATGCCGCGGCTTACTACAATTTCACATCAGCTGTGGTGCTGAGTATTGTAAAAGGAAATGCGGACATAGGCATTGGCAGATTTTCTCAGTTGGTCGATTACCATAATGACATAGAATCACCAGCTCAAACAAGTATGGATTGTTTTACTTGGGCAGTACCAATGAAGACTGGAACAAAACCAAGTGTATGGACGACATCAATTTATGAATTTGACTATCTTATGTGGATTTTAATAATTCTGAGTGTGGTATTTGCTATTTATGTATTAAAATTTTTAAATAAACTACCAATGATCCTAGGCAAACATGATGGATTAACTATTTTTGCTATTTTGCTCAACATTTCCACCAACATGAATTTGAAATCGCACTCTTTAAAAGTTTTTATATCTTGCTGGATTTTATACTGCTTTGTCATAACTGCTGCATATTCTGCATCGTTGGGTAGTCTGGTTACAGTACCACCTGATAGTTCCGACATTGAGAATTCCATGCAGTTATTGGATAAAGATTTTATATTAACAGGTGATCCAAAAATGTATCACATTTTAAGTGCTTCATCAGAAACAAGTCCCTTATTAAAGAAGATACTGGAAAAGTTCGTCATTTTACTTCCTGGTGAGTTCAAGAGGATTATTTATAAGATTTATACCAATAGAAATATAGCAGTGTTTTATACCAGCAATAAACTTATAGAAGAAGAAAGTAGGATTGTTGCTAAGTTACATTGTGGTAAAATGGTTCATATTATACCCAAATGCCTAATTACTTCCCATACATCTCCATTGATCATGAAGAAGGGCTCTGTTCTCATGGAACCAGTCAAAATGATAGTTGTCAGGCTATGGGAAAGTGGTATTCTTCATAATTGGGATGAGAAAGGAGGCAATATTCGCCTAAATGTTACGAAGACAGCTCATAAGTTTACCATTTCCCAGTTAAGAGGAGCCCTTATAGTCACTGTAACAGGCTATATTATATCAAGTATTGCATTTGCGTATGAATTATTATCACCAAAGTTTGTCCAGAAAAAAACAAAGTCAATTAAAATAAGTAAAATGAAAAGGAAGCTTGAATTTCTTCCATGAGA